TATTCTATTCTATTCTATTCTATTCTATTCTATTCTATTCTATAGAATATAGTAGATAATATACAGGTAGTCCTCATTTAGCAACCACAATTGGGACCAGCAACTTGATCGATAAGCAAAGTGGTTGCTAAGTGAAACTGCAACTGTACTTAAGATCTTACTTCAGTTTTCCTTTGCTTTACAAACCTGTGAGGGTCATAAATGTGAGGATTGGTTGTAAAGTTACTTTTTCATCACCGTCATAACTGCAAATGGTTGCCAAATGAGGCAGTCGCTAAACAAGGACTACCTGTATTCAGCTTTTCCTCCTCAGTTGTAAGATTTCACCACTTCAGGTTACAAGAGAACCAGTGTAGTGGATAAAAGGCTGGATTAGGAATGGGGGACACCCAGGTTTTAGTCTACTTTCACTGGGTGACTTTGGACCAGTCACTTTCTCTCAGCCCAAACTATCTCACAGGATTGTTGTTTGGGGGGAAAAAATAGGAAGGAATGCTATGTACACCATCTTAAGCTCCTAAAAGAAAGATGGGAATTAAATCTAATAATAACATTTTTTAAAAATCTAAGAAATCTAAATATATAAGAACCGGTGTAAACTGTTATACTGACCTACTCTTGCAATACTGCTATGGTATATTCCTTTCCCTAGTGACTGAGAATGCTAATGAACTATATTTCTAGCCAGCAGAAGATGGACCCAACCCTGTTTGGAAGGCAAACAAGCTTCAGAGAGGAACCAAGCAGCTCAAGCATTGAGGTATGAGTCACTTTACTATACCGCGTTAAATGTTTTACATGGTGCTTCTGTTCCCGTATGTCTTACCAGCTATAGGTTTTGTTGTTACAATGGAATATACAAATAATTGAACCACATTTACCTGAAATCAACAACTTAAGGAGGGGGTATCATCCATAGGATAGGAAAAAGTCTTAAACTCTGCCTTCTAACTAAGAGATGGAGTTAGTCCTTTCCTGTTGTACCTATCTTCCGGGGACCAGAAAGGTAACTACTGTTCTACAATTTACCTCTACACAGCTATTTTAAAGTTATACATTCATGAATGCATAGGGTGGTAGAGGTTTCCTTCCCATGTTTTTGCAGTTTATGAGATTATTTGCCTTTATACTTCAATGGAATGATTTTTAAAACCATAATTTAATAAGGAGGTACTGGGTTTCATTTGTCCCTTGAAGTTTATTGTTAAACCTCTCAGCTCTTGGCATCAAAAATCAAGACCTGTATTTTTGAATCTCAGAACTGGAAACAAATGTTCGACAAATACGTGCAACCAAATGCTAGACTATAGCCAATTTCCATAACCAAAATTTGTAATACGCAAATGGAACCTTTGCCCCAGCTGACTTCTCTATTCATTAACATAATAGCTCTGTCTGCCAATGAAATTAATAGGAAAGCCTTTATGCACTGCATAACAACATTAGACAAATGACATAAATTAAAGCAAGTGAGATAATTTACATCTTTTTTATAATGATGTTAGTATGGAAATGACAAATCTCCACAGGTAATATACTCTCTAATTTCAGCCATTTGTGAAAAACAGATGTGAAAAACAGACTCCCCCAAATGAGGTTTCACCGTACTGGAATCCTGCTGAGAACTACTGCTCACTAATATATGCCTCACCCATCCAATGTAACTTACACAAGAAGGGTGAACTCCTTACCATTGTGGTGTACCAATGCTCCATGTTCCACCTTCTTTTTCATGTCATAGATTTGTATAGTTTCATCCTTGCTCCCAGTGACTACATATCTTTCATTCACAGCTACTGCTGACAATGAAGCACTGTGGGCATGATGAGTGAAATCAGGAGCGATTGCCCAGTTCTGAAAATAAAACATAACAGGAATAAGACTTGTTTAAAAAGCAATCAAACCAGCTATTGTGATTTCCCTAAAATATTCCAGTGTACTTTGTTTTTAAAAACAAAGTAAAAACCTGTTGAAGAGCACTTATCTTCACAGATCCTGATCCAGCATACTTAGCATCAAGTCTTCCAAATGAATCAAATAATCTGAATTTTGAATCACATAACCTGACTCCAATGCTTGAATGGAAGTATTCAGTATTAAACTTTAAGTGCCTTCAAAATAAAGGATGACAGATTACCTTAATATAAATTAGTAAAATTGTTAAAACAGAAATTATTTATCTTTAGAAAGTCAAATGCTTTTAAAGTAGTAGGGTATTATAGCAGATTATCCAGTTATGTGAGTGCAAACTATCTATCTTCACAGAGACGGGCGTTTTCACTTTAAAAGAAATCTTAAAAACTTTTTCCAAAACATGATCCTTTCAGTCTTATCCTACTGATCAGGAAGCAATTCTACCTACTTCAGTTACCAGCAGTTATTACTATCAATTAATGTCATTATAGTTAGTGTGTTTAAATATCTACCATTTCATGGCCTCTGGGGTTTACAACGTACAACTAATTTCAGTTGGAATAATAGTATCTGTATGTCATGTAACTGTATTTCCACAAAATGAAAGCTTGTGACACAGTATATTTATTCACAAAAAGACACCAGATTTTGTTAGTGGTTTCACTGAGAAGGCCCTCTCGTAATTAAAGGATGTTGTTTTATGTAGACTATTGACATTCTTCTTGTTGCACAAAACTTTTCCACAATGTTAAATCTACTAAATCCATTATTTATTTTTTAAAGAATCTGTTCTTAATTCCACTACAGGTGATCAAATTTCACTTTTAAGTATATTAAAAAAAAAAACACTGAGATCCTAAATGGCAACTAATACTGATAGAATTTTTACTTTTCTCTTTTTATTTTCAATACTTTTATGCTTTTTAAATAATAAAATGTTAATAATTTTAATCATATTATAGAAGCATTACTGCATTGAAATCATACAATGTATCAAGATTTAGAATACTATAATAAAAGGGAAAAAATCTTGCTTTCTTCAGTTGACAAACAAGTGCCTCAAGGAAGCAATAACTCTCACATGCTATTGCTTTCCAGCAACTGCCCCTAAAACTTCGGCCATGTTAATTGGGAAAGCGAGTGTCGCGGTTTCTTCCGGCATGGCGAGCATGAGGTTAGAAAAGCTGTGGCTTACAACCACCACGGTCGGAGGTGGTTGTACCCTCCCATAAAGCCCTCTTTAGACAGCCCCCTTTAAAGGCTATCTAAGCTAAAGGCTGACAGCACGTTACTCCCACTCTTTTTTAAAAGCAACTGCCGCGAAGGACACCGTCCCGCGTGGGCAGCGCCTGCTGCGCCGAACGAGCAGCAAGCGGTAGGGAAAGCGTGTTCCGCGGGCCGCGCGCGAGCATTCCATTTCCCCCGCCCCGCGACAACGTACGGAACTCACAAGGCGGAGCTGAGCACGAGCCACGCCGCGAAGGCTTCTGGGAAGGAAACTGAGCAAGACGAAGCGAGCCCACAAGCTTCCCTGCCCTTGCGCACGCTGGTAGCTTGCAACCTCGGCGCCGCTTGCGCAGCGTGCGGCCCTCGTGGTAAGTATGGGACCCTAAGCACCTCACTCTTGCCTTCTCTGCGCCCCCTGTCTTATTTAAAAATTACCTCGGCTGGTTGTACTGCGAATCCGAATAGAATCTGTTCGTAACATCCCCCCAGCACCTCCATTTCTTGGCCTTCCTTAGCGGCGCCTACTAGTGTGGGGTCCTTTCCTTTCTGTATGTAGCACGGCCTCCTATCCGCCTGTCCGTTTTGCGCTGGGGTATGTCTACTTTATCGCCTGACTAGGAGCCGGGAAGTCGTTGCCGCTTCCCGTTTCAAGACTGAGTCTTTGGACTTTCCTTTGTCGTTTGGGAGTGGAGGGGAGGCAGAAATGATTTGTAGGAAACAGAAACAGAAAAAGAAAGAAACAGAAACAGGCAGTCGCAAAGACAACCTGGGGCGGAAGTCCGTGGAGGTGAAGGAAGACGGGGGGGAGGATGACGGCGGCGGAAGGGAGCGTTGCGATCTCCAAACGGCTAGTGATGGCGGCTGCCCGGTGGGCCAGAGATGTTAGTATTATGGGTTTGAGGCGACAGGGAGGGGGTCCTTTGCCGCGTGGACAAGTAGTATTAAGCTATTCCTGATTTCGGGTCTCTTCCCCGCTCTTTTTGCTCGGCACCGCGTGAGTTCTCTCCTGCCCCGCCCCCAACAGAGGCCTGGCACGCGCTGGCGCCTTTTCCTTTCTCCTTTTCCCGTCTAGTTCCTTTTCGGTGCAGCCCTGATCTCATTTAAACTGTCTGGGGAATAGATCTGGGTGGACTTTCTGGAGCTGCTTTTAATCTTGCTTGTGACTGGGATATGAACGGGGTGAGCGTCTGTTGGCAGATGCATATGTTCACATGTGTGTGCTAGCATGTTCGTACGGACGCGCGTGCGTATAGCCCCACCATTTTTTAAAATCCTTTTTAAAACTCTTCCAACTTGCCCGGTTCCTAAGTTTTGTCCTTAAAGAATTGTAATCTTAAACATCGTTATTTCAAAGTGGTCTTCATTGAAACTATTGAGGCATATTTTTGAACAATGAAGCCTAACGTTACAACTATGCTCTATTCAAAAATTGCATTTTAATTGGTGCTGATTCTAAGTAGGCTCAGCCGCCATTGGGTGTGAAGTTTCCCCCACCTCATAATTCCATCTTCAAAAGCAAATATTGATAGAATAAAAATTATAGAGGACTTGATCAGAGAGAAAGAAATAAGGACACTTCCTTCTAAAAATTCCTCTTTCTCTAGTTTTACTTTTAAATAAAAATATATTTAAAAACTAAAAAAAATGGAAATACAGAAATCAAAAGGAAGTGTTCAGAAATTGGGCCTGTTTTTCTCAGAATGTGAAAAATTCATATCCCAATTATTTTCTAACTTTAAAAAATGAAAAAATTAATATAGGTTTTTATATTTTATATCCTGACATAGATTACAATTTATATTTTGTGACATTTTCTTGGGGTTTGAATTCTTTAAATGTATTTTGCAAATGATATGCAATGTATGTGGAAATTGTTCTGTATTTTCTGCAGTGTATGGAAAACTTTATTTTTTATTTATGCAATCTCTATAGCTGCCCATCTCAATCTAAGTGACTCTGGGCAGCGAACAATTTCAATAATTAAAACCATTAAAACAATTATTAGGCAGCTGAGAATTATCATAAAAATTACATAGGAATCAACAGTGCAACCAGGTAATGGGGCCCTTAACACTTTCAGGACCCCAGGCTCAGGCACATAGCCAGGTTTTTAAAGCCTTACAAAAGGCTAGTGGGGTCAGGACCACCCTGAGCTCCAAAGGAAGAATGTTCCAGAGGGCAGGGGATGCTGCTGAGAAGGCTTGTCTGACGGGATCCACAACTTCCCCAATCTACTAGACCGAATTGGAAAGGTAGAAGCTATTGGGACTTCAGGAACTTTGATGCATTCAAAATTGATTAAACATTTTAGGATTTTGTTCTTTACTGCTAAAATGGGGGTAGTTCTTTTTTTGCTATTTGATTCCCCCCCTCCCCTGGGGTTTTAGATAGTATACTAGGCCTCTAGGAACATAATGCACCTATTTTGCTTAAACCTTCCAAGCTTCTGAAACAAGACTGAATATTTTATGTGATAATGTCACCATTTGTCCACCATGCCTCTGAATCCTGAAAGATTACCTGCCTCTGGTTTAGTGTACTATGTAAAGCCATTTATTAAAGTTTGTAATGTATTTTTCTGGAGATGGGTTTGCATATCACATTAAGCCAGAGGTGACAGCCTTTGGACCACATACTGACCCCCCAACCCCATTTTTGCAGTCCCCAAAGCTCTCCGTGTTACGCCATTGAAATTCAGCAGAAAAAATGTTTAATATGCTTATTTTGTTCCTACACACACACACACACACACACACACACACACACCCTGAACAAATTTTTTGGGTTGGCACCTTCCAATGACATTGTGTATCACCAGCTGTATAGATATTGGAAGGTAGAACATAGCCCACAGCCACAAAAAAGTTGTCCTCCCATTTGCTAAATCAAAACCAAACCCTGTTAAGGTTGATATTTGAACCAAGTTTGCAAATATTTATTGATGATCAAATAAGTTTGTGTTGTGAAACAAGTGTTTTCTCTGATTCTTACACTATTTGTTTATATTGTAGTGAAATCACAAGTTCTTGAACAACCTTGGAGGAAGAAAGGATTGCTAATACTTCAATTTAGATGGTTAGAATAACGAGGCAAGATCTCGTCTTGTTCTGGTACTTGCCACCTTCTACAGCTAGACTCTTTTAATTTCTTTGTTTGTGTATTTGACACTCATTGGTAAGTTAAATAAGTAGCAGAAGTTGTATTTATAAAATGTGAAGACCTAGTTGCAGAGCAAATATTTCTTAAAGGATTATTATAAATCTCTTGGCAGTATCCTTGTAATTAGAGATTTCTTATTAGTATTGCTAATCTGTACAGGTTTGGTCATTCAATTTTTTTCTTCTACTTTAATTTTTTCATATATAATTTTTTTAAAAAAAATTAAATCTAATTTTTTTTTCTTTTCATGATGACAGTGTTCATGCTAAGTATAATAAGTAATTGGATTGCTTTGGTGAATTTTACAAATCTGCATTATTTCTTTGATTTTTCTGGGTGTGCGGAAGATTGCACTCTGAAGCAGTAGCTTTGTAACTGGCACTGCTTGCTCACGAAGCTGCATTTTTAGTGAAAATGGCTTTTACCATTTCAGTCCAAAGGACTAATACCTATACCCTTACCTGGAGAAAATAGATCTAACTCAGTTATAATTTTATATTTTATGAGCTGTGGTTTTATTGTAAATTAGTTTTTGTATACTTTAATGTACATAGGCTAGACATTATTAAATGCTTCTTTGGGGATTGTGTATTTCAAGAAAATTGATAGAGTTAGGCTTTGGTTCATTTTTATAGAAACAGTACAGGTACTCCTCGTTTAATGACCCTAATTAGGACTGGAATTTCCATTGCTAAGTGAAGCGGTCATTAAGCAAAACATCACGTGATCATACCACTTAGCGATGGCAGTTCCTGTAGTCCTGGTTGCAGTTATTAGGCCAGGACCTCACATTTCTCCTGCCCTGCCATGCTCGCCTCCACTTCAACTCCCCTTATCCGCCAATCTCCCCCCATCACTGCCCTTTTGGCTGCCCTGCATTCTGCTGCCTACCCCTGCTGCCCCCCCACTGACCTTTGCTATCATCTTCCACTACTGAAGGGGAGGCCGCACAAAGGGCCAGCAGCTGCCTCAGCTGGGTGCGCCTCATCAGCAGTAGGAGGAGGAAGATGGCAAAGGTGGGGGGGTGGCAGGGGTAGGCAGCAGAGTGCAGGGCAGTCAAAAAGGCAGAGATGGGGAGATAGGCAGGTGAGGGGAGTTAAAGCGCACCCTGCAGTCATAAAGCAGGCGGCCTGCCAAGTGCCCAAATTTTGATCACATGACTGCAGGGGCACTGCAATAGCCTAACTTTGTGGACCAGTCATAACTACCATTAGTTAATCAATGTTGTAACTTTGAGCGGTCACTGACCGAATGGTCATTAAGTGAGGATTACCTGTACTGATCTTTAGTTTGAGGTGTTAGGGCTGCTGTTAAATTCTTAAAACTTTTTTTAAAAAAATAGCACTACAATAAGGTACAGTGACTTATAATACACAGTCATAAAGTTATAACCAGTGAGTGGCTTGAACAGCTCTAGCAAACTGCATTATTCTTTGGACCAATTGAAATTTTTATCAAATATTGCATGTAGGGAAAGTGCCCAAACTACAGTGCATTCGGAAAGTATTCAGACCCACTTCACTTTTTTCAATTTTGTTATGTTGCAGCCT